GCATCTTCAGCATTAACTTCAAAATATCAGCAGGGTGTTTGAAATTCCCCATGAATCAAATAACTGTTTTCCTTGATGACAACTGCTTCATTCACCTATAATAGTAATGGTCGTCTTTTTGACCCAATGTTTGACATTTGGATTGAATGACTTATTATTTTATTGGTTGATAAACTTGAACAGTATACAGATGTTTATTAGCTGCAAACTGATCCAAATAACAAGCTTCTTGGAATTCTTGTATAATCCCCATCCAGGCATTAATGAAAACAAAACACGTAGATCAGCGAAGAGTCTTTTTTCCGCGAATTCGTTTTCTTAGCTGAACAATTTATGTGTGTTATTTTGTATGTATGTGTACATTAAGTTTGTCAAACAAAATACAATTGGTTATAGTTATTTTAACTAAACAGGGGAAGATTGGTAATTGGAGTTATGTAATTCAAAATCAGTCAAGAAAATTAGGTGTTAGTGAAATTAGGTTGGTAACAAAGGTGATGAGTTGTCACAAACAGTTGTTAGAAAGGAGTTAGGTAATATTATGAATAGTTTGATAAGTGAGTTCCAAATGAATACAAGAATTATAAGTAATTAAAGAACAGGCAAAGAAACAAAATTAAGTCATCAAAATCAAAATATCAAATCAAATCAAAAAAGTTGCTACCAAGACAGTAGAAGTGGTTGAGTAATTCTTTTTTGTATGCACAGCTCCGGCTTTTCTATTTGAATGACCAGAACTTCAACGATACAAAGAAGACGAAACTGTATTGTTTTCGATAGGTTATTCTTGACTCTGTAGATTACTTTGAAGGAGGCATTTGTTGAAATGGAATGATCAGTGTTAACCAGGTGTTCAATTATCGCACTCCTTATTGCACCACAATTGCCTTTTCGCAACTATGCTGGATAGTGTTCTTGAATCCTTTTGGACAGGGTGCGCATCGAACGACCAATGTACCTGGCTCCACAGCAGCAGGTGAACTGATATATGCACATAGAAGTGGTCAGATGCGGGATCTTGTCCTTGAGGCTTCTGCAGATCAGTGGGCGTCTGGAGAACACTATTCTTAGCGTTGTTGCAAAGAATGTTCTTCTTAGAGATGATGTGATCCTTCTCTTGAGAATATCGCTTGCTTAATCTCCCTTGAAATCCAGGTTCATGTTGAGTTTCTTTTTTGGCGCAAGTAGAGTTTTGTTTCTCCGAATTCTTGGTAGATGAATCTCATTGGGTATCCATTTTGGATGAGAATTTCTCTTAGAACATCAAATTCTGTTTCCAGAACGTCGGGACTACAGACGCGTCGGATGCTGGTGGCAAGTGATTTAATTAAATTCCGCTTTTGTTGAATGGGTACCCAGCTAAAGAAGCTTGTTAGTTGACCATTCCAAGTTGGTTTTCTATGGATCGATCTTCTCAGACTCACATCAGTTCTTCTTGTTAGTTCCACATCAAGAAACGGAATTTATTTTATTCATTTTAAGCTAGCTGCACGACTGCTTACAAGCTTCCATCTACTTTTCACATGATATTTTCCCTTTCGTTCTCAGACCTCCGACCTACTGCCTCGCATTCGGGTTCCATTTGTAGACGTAGCATGTGATTTGCCTTGAATTTCTTTCCTGAATATATGCAGTCCACCTCCATTTTCTTCTGTGCGTTTGTTGGGTGATAGGTAGATTCATAGCTAGCCAGTTACTTGAGTTCCTGAAACTTTAAATCGGAAAATAGATTTTATAGAATCATGTATGTTAGTTCCCAAACATGTCAAGAAACTTAAAAATTTCCGTCATCAGTAAAGACTACTCTAAAGCAAACTTCTCGAGATACAGAGTACGCAGTGAATTCTGTTGTTAATGAAGTATTTCACAAAATTGAAGAATATGTCAATGTCTTTCCAAATTGACAAGAATTCCACAGTAAATTCAATGGAATACTTATTTGTTTATTTTATAAGGCCTGACTGTGAGTAAAATGACTACTTGGTGTAGGCTTGGACGCCGTCGTATATCAATTTAGAACTCGTCAGTAGGAAGTACCTATAAGCCAGTTATTATTGATGTATTCACTTACTTTGAAACCCGATACCCATCTTTTGAAGTGCTGAAATGTTATTTACTGATTTACTGAGACGATATAGCCACTTCTCGTATAACTGGTATCGGTTGCAATTTATGAAAAGTTTTTAACTTTCAGGAGTAAGTTTGTCGGGATTCGATTTGTTTTCCGAGTTTGTGATCACGGATTGGTAATAGTTACAGAACCAGTGAAAACCATCAGGAAGTACTGGGCATCCGGTTTCGTCCTAATCTGCGAATCATCAATGGTACGCGTCCACCTCCATGGTTCGAACCCAGGACCTTATGGTGATGCTATATATCAAGTGATTAACAGCAGAAAACTCGGCGAAGCGCTTGAGGTGTATAGGGGATTAAGACAAGGCTGCCTGCGATCACCCACAATGACATCCCTGATTGTGGTGAACTGGATCAGAAGGCAGACAACCTTGTGCTAGAAGACAGTCGTCGACGGGAATACTCTGGAAGGAGTCGATTTCATGAATAACTTTCGTCTAAGGTCACACAGACCTGAAGATCTACAGGCAAACATCGAAAAGTTAGCTAAAGAAACAGGCAGCAAAAACAGGACTTCAAGTGAGCATACAGAAGATATAGGTAATAAAGATACTTAACCAGCAACATCAAGCGCCAATCACCGTCAACAGGAGAAATCTAGGAAGCATCGTTTTGACTACAAGCTGCATGAGTGAGGATGTCAAAGCCAGTCAAAATCAGAAAAACATGACAAACCTTCATTAATCTGAAATCGGATTCGCATTGTCAACTACAGTGTTAAATCAGTTCTCCTTGTTCTTCAGAGACTTGGATCGTCATGAAGAGCATTTCCAACAGTCTGCTGCATACTTTCACCAACAGATGCCTTCACTGGCTCTTCAATGAATATCAGATGGCTGGTGGGAAAGGACAGGTGGAAAGGAACTGTATAAACGAGTTAACTATCTAATAACCTATCACCCAATAAATATGCAGAAGAACGTCAAATGGGTTGGACACACACCCTTAGGGGACCGTTGAGTGACATCACGCACCGGGAAAATCCCTGAATGGATCCCGGGTAGGAAACGACGAGTTGGGCTTCCCTAGGGAACGTGGAGAAGACCGTTGCAGGAAGAGATGAAAGCCTTCAGGCGATTGTGGAGCCAGCTAGAGAAAACTGAAGGTAAGTATTAACCTGGAGTTCTAGTGGGAAGCCTTGACCAGTAGAATACAGCAGGTTGAAGGTGAGGCAGTAACTCACCGAAGAAAACATCGTGGTTTGGCTAAGGACAGACAAAAACAATCCTTAGCTCAATTTTGTCACATTTAATTGATAGTGGTCATGTAGTGGAGAAAACGATAGCCTTCAAAGTAATTCATCGTATCCCACCGAATCTTTCCAATAGACTACGTATTCGTCTACTGCACACAGCTGAGGCGACTATTAAACCTAAACTATGTATTCAAAAGAAGTGCGTACAGCAATTATCCCTCCCTTGGCCTATTAATACATAACCAACTAATGACTTCTACACCACCCCTTGTTTATATTTTCAACCTCTTTCTTATCATCCCTTAATCTTATCCTCATTATAAACGTGTTTCATTTACTTCCCTTACAATCAATCTGGCATTACGTAATCGGTTCATTTGTTTTTACTAGCTTTTATCGACTGCTTCCACCTGAACATTTGTTTGTTTAATCATGCTGTTTTTCATTATTCGTGTTATCACAGATTGCCTCACTTTTTCATCCTTATAATTGATAAGACCATTTTTATTATTACTATTATTATTACTATAATTATCATTACTACTATTATGACTAATTGCACAATTTATATTCACCATCGTATTATCCTATAGACAAAACACCATGATTGAATATATTTGAATTTTTATTTGTAAAGTTATGTAAGTATATTACAGTCAAGCCTGATGAGATCTAATTGAAAACAATATTGTCCGCTTAAATGTGTTGTTCTAAATTTTACTATGGGAATATTTAATGTATTGAAATCTCTTGGGGATCCTGTTGGATTTAAGGCACTCAATGAGTACCTGACGTTGAAGCGGAAACATCGTTGGAATTTTTCAAAGGATGTGTAGAAACCGAACGCTATCCTAAATTATATTGGAGGTCGTTAAGGTGAATGAGGATTTATCCTAATTTTCAAGTATTGGTTTGGTAGGGATTTTGTTTAATTGCATGGAGGATTTCATCATGAGCTGACATCAGTTAGAGAACCATTGGAAAACCAGCTGGGAGTACTGGACAGCTGTTTCGTTCTACTTTGGGACTCTTCACAGTACGCACCCACCACCGGGATTGGAACCCAAGACCTTCTAGTTACAAGGCGAGCTCGTAGACCACTGAGCCACTGAGACCCGATCCTAATCCTTAGAATTAAAAAAGACATGCTCTTAATCAGATTGATTCTGTTGAAACTCACATGAATTATCTAGGAAGAAACATATTACAAAGACAATTTTCAGTTGATGATTTACCTCAGGAGATAAAATTAATGATCTAAACTGAGCTGGGTAAAATCGTAGTCATAAAAGTATTTCTGTGTACTTTTATAAATATGATTAATTCAGAATAATTCCGACTAAAATAAATCGTCAAAAATGAGCCTTCTGCTATTCTCACCTAGAGTTCAGATGGACTTTCATCAACGTATCAGATGACCATATCATTTATTAATATATGCCAGTGATTTTTCTTCACTCCAACATCATTTTGAGGTAATAGTAACAATCAGCAATCTGATTGGTTAATTTAATTGCACACACTCTAATTTATTCTACTAATAAATGCTTTTGAGTAAGTAAAACAACTTTACAACAAATAAGAATAATATTAATTCAATTCCCTGTATATATATATATATATATATATATATATATATATATATAGTATAAGACGTATTCCGCAACGAGAAGTAATTTTTACCGTTCTTCTCCTTTTTTTGAGAATATTACTTCCTCATTAAAAAAAATAACAAAGAATATTGAAGCATTTAATAAGATTTTCATTTTTTTTTAAAGAAAAGAGTTGAATCACTATTTCTAGACCCTATTATTTTCCAATTCATTCAAAGATAAACATGAATACACATTTTTGGACAATACTATTTTATACATTCGTATATTTATTTCCAATAAAGCATGCAGCACAACTTGAATTCGGTTATGCTACACGTATGCTACCAGAATTTGGCGGTGGATTCCCTATACAAGAGCGTTCAATACGTATGTGTGGTGATGACTTCTTACAGAATCTTAAACGTGTTTGTGCAATGCGCGGAATTTATACACCAATAACACGTCAAAGACGATCACCACAAAGAGTCTATGGTAAGTGAAAATATCATTTATAAATATAAGTGTTATTTTTATAAGAGACTTTTATCTTATTTTAAATATATATCTTTTTTAAATTACTTAACAAAACGTTTTGCTCAGCAAATGTCGTTAGCTTCCTACGGAAAAGTTACGCATGGCTAATATCCTGTTCTCCTTTTAAACAGGGTTAAAATTGACTACCTATTGAGACGGTATATAAAGTTTGGAGAGATTGGAGTACCAATGCACAGGAACTGTTACTGACATTCACCCGAATATTTGGATGAATGACAAATATGTAAACTCACGGAAAATTCCTATTGGGATGCATAAAAATCAAAACAAATGATTCGGCGAAGAGACTCTTTCCAACAACGAATTTATTACCAAGCTGTACAATCGTATATATATATATATATAATCCGGTGAGGGAATTGAATCGTAGGTGTGAATGCATAAAATAATAATAGTAGTAGTATGAAATGCAATCAAAATATTTGTGATTGTAATCACAGCTAAATGTCAAGTGGCAAAACAATTAATGTCATACATAGAATAATTCATAAAGGTATAGAACTTGGAAAGGGTGTGCAATAATAGGACTAGTAGACAAATAAAATAACATTGTGTGAAATTTGATAACATAGGTAGAGCCAAATTATGAGTAGGAGGTTGAATGAACTTTTTCTGTATACAGAGACATGGCTTTTCTGTTTCGACAGCCAAAGCTTCAGTAGTACAGATGAGTCGGGTACGTAGTGATTCCAGTAAATTGATTTTCGCCTTGTAGATGACTGTAAATTCGGAGACTGTGGAGATAGGGTGATCAGTGTCGACCAGATGTTCAATGATTGCGCTTCTTATTGCTCCACTTCCACCTCTTCGTAACCATGCAGGATAGTGTTCTTGGACATACGAGCAGGTGAATTGATAAAGGTTAACAGCGGGATCTTGTCCTTCGAGTTATTGAACAGTAATGGTGGACTGGTAAAGGCTATTCTCAGAGATGCAGCAGGGAATGTTCTTTTCAGGGAATGTGATGTCCTTCTTCTCATGATATATACGATTGTACAGCTTGATAATAAATTAGTTGAAAGGAGTCTCTTCGCTGAATCACTTGTTTTAATTTTCTAAATATGTAAACAAAGAATTAATAAGTCAACTGGATTAGTGGGTTATTGAGACTGTCAGCAAATATGATAGAATATAACTAGGTAGGTGTTACACGCCTAAACACAACATACCTTTATGAATATTGCTGTCTGAAGGACGACTTCACCGAGACAAAACTACATGAGATCATAAGCCATTGGATACATTGCTGTTTCTAAGGAATAAGACAAGTAGTGACTTGCAGTAATATTAATTCAGAATGGTGGACGATGGAACAGATTACTTCATCTTGCTTAAAATCCTAATGAACCTATTTTTGAAGTCCTCTTTCATAGCTTCCACACCTCTATCTTCGAAAAATGATTTAAGCCTTCTTTTCATTATTCTCTTAACACTTGTACTTAGCAAATATCCCTAAAGTACTGTAACATTTAAAGGCTTTGACAGGTGGAGATTCATATCAGATCGAGAGGTGATGAGAAAGGCTGTATTCTTAAAAGAAATTAAATCAATAGAAATGATGTTATATTTGACCGATGAATTATAATTCTGAAGTTTTAACCCATACAGCGAGTGTATACTAGAATTTTAAATCCATATATTACAATAGTCATTGAATTGCTTTATCAAACATTTTACGAATTTATAGAATGAATGACATTAAAATTGTTCTGATGCCCAAAGTAACAAGTGGATTATGCGTTAGGTTTAGACTTATAGCCAACACCTCAACATTTTTATGAATAATGAGAACATTACACTCTGTTAACCTTGAACCTTCATTGAAGGCTTTTAGTGACCCCAAAATAGTTTGCTTAAAAAAACATGGCAGATGTACTTAAGGTACCACTGTTGTTTTACATCACAATAGTGTCCCCTGTGTTAGATAAAAGTGGTGAATATGTTCAGTGTGCCTTCCTAGATTACACATCTGTCTTTGACTCTATATCTAGGCCTCGTTTGTCAATGGTTCTCTAACTGATATCAAGCGGTGGTCAAAAAATAACAAATCTAATCCTTACAAACCATCTCGTGAAAATTAATCTGATACTCTCTAGTGACTCCCCACAGGACTGAGTTTCCTGGAGTTCTAGTGAGAAGTCGTGACCAGTTAGGTCCATCCAGTCAACTGTGAGGATGGATTTCCCACCGATGACATTGATTTGTGGTCACACTAAATCACAAATTGGTGGATGTTAGAATTCATGGGCTGGCAAGTGAATTGGGTCCCAATGGCTGAATGGTATACGAACCAGCTTGCCTTGTAACCGGAAGGTCTTGTGTTCGAACCATGGTGGTGGGTGCCTACTGCCGATGATTCCCATAGTAGGCTGTTGAAACAGCTGTCCAGTACTCCCTGTTGATTTACAGTGGTTCTCTAACTGACATGAATCAGTGGTCAAACTCGTAAAAATAATAATAGTAATAGCTTTAATTCTAAACAGCTTTCTAACACATAGTGCAGAATTTTTAGAGTATTTAAGGTGCAAAATATCTACTTTTCGTAGAGGATATTCAAGTAAAATGGTATTCGACAGCACATCAGATGTTGTTCCATCTGAAGGAGTATCCAAATCTCTACGATATATTTTCTTCATTTCTGTTGAGAAGTGCTCTGTATTACAGTAAACTTAAACTGTGTGCAAGTTCTTGTAGCCATCCAGAAACACAGTAAGATGATTAATAAAATAAGTAATGGAGATGAGTTTACGTATTGTACCGGATGGAAATTTAGACCGCTTAGTGATTTAATCAGGCCGTCAGATCCCACTATAAGTTAGTGCTGGGTGCTGGATTAACAAATAGTTGCATTCTTATTTTTCTGATAGGAAACAGTACATTGGATATAAAGGAAAGGCTTCAACTGCTTCCCTTACTGTAACTAGTGTCCCTCGAGGTTCCGTTCTTCCTCTTTTACTGTTTCTTCTTACATTACTTGCCTCATTCAGGTGAAGTACACTCATGATCAGACTGTTTCCTTCTATGTAATGTTTCTTCTGCGTAATTTCCTTTCCATCCGCTATAACAATAAATGAAATGTTGAGAATTGAGTTAATTGCTGCTGGGAAGTCATGTAGGTCGAGAAGAACATGAATTAAAATTGTCAAAAGCCACATGACAGTAAAGGAATACAATGGGGTTCTGCTTCACTCTGTTTTGCCAGGCTCTATGACAGACTATACCAGACTCATAACTAACCTAAATGGCACTGATGGGTGCCTTGACACAGTGTTGTATACATACGGAGCGTGCTACTGACTGGATTTATATAAATGGTCAGAGCAAGAGCCGCCTTTGTTTACATGGCTATCAGCAGTTGTTCTGCGCATCGATGAACAAATAACAGGAAGTAATTGAGGGTGCTGACTCAATAATATGGCTTTAGACTTCCAATAATAAGCCTTATCAATGTGATCGTCATATGAGCATCTAGCGAAATATTTCAGTTGAAGTGCTTCAATACTTCTCAAACAGACTACATGTTTCTGATCTTTTCAGAATGGATAAAGTTGTTTAGAATTTTGAATAACTCCGAAAACCCTCTTTTTTTCAAACATTTGGCGTGTTAAATTGAATGTTATAAAAAAGGTATTCTAATAAAGAAAGTTAGGCAGTCAGAGGAAACGGACGTTTAGTTCAACCAGCCATCTTTTGACTACAGGCTCATTTTCAACAAATAATGCAGTTACTTTGTCTTCATCACTCATGAATTCTTCTGTGTAGAATCGAATTTCAAATTACTTCACAAAGTTTTCTTTTTAAATCCATGCTTCTGTAAACTTTGAGTTTTGTCGCGTGAGTTTTCGGTACGGTGGTGGTACGGCGGTAGAATCCTCGCATACCACGCATGTTGTCCAGGATCCGATTCCCGGCCGACAAAATCCTTTACCTCACTAACACAGAAATAAGACTGGTAAAGAGGGAAGGTTGGACATGAGGGCAGCAGCAACCCCATCCCGTAAAAATAAACACCACTGCTACCGAAACTTCAAGTCTCTAGCTTGGAGCCCTATGTTCCACTGGGAACGTGAAGGAATAAAAAAAATTAAATATAACCATAGAAATGATTTCTTCTCAAAGCATGGCAAAACATACAGGATAATCACCTAAACGTTTCTAACATTCAAACTGTTACTGATTTAGAACTTAGTCCATATGTATCACTTGACAAGTCCTAAAGTTCCATGAAAGTATACACAAGTAATCTGATATTTGAACAGATGGTTCACAAACTTTCCACACATATTAGGCAATCTCTTCTGAAAGTGTTTCCAATGGCCTGATTTGTGGTAAAATGTTTATCTTTCCAAAATTTTGACGGTAATCATATAATACAGGTTTAAAATATTTGTTGAAGTCAATTCTAATGTCTTTATTGATTGATTTTTATTGAACTTAAGTGTACGTCGACATTTTGGCTCTTAGAATGGACACTCCAATGATATCTGACGACTAATGTTGATGTCATTTTGGTTGATGATGGATAACAGTGAAATTCAGGTTCCACATTTTGTCTTATTCATGACTCGTCCATTGGATGTACCTGCATCCCTGTGGGTGATGAGGATGCCGGTACATCCAGTTGATGAGTCCTGAATAGCTATTATATGCCAAATGAATTCACAATATGACTCACTAGATATTTAAATTATCTCATATTCTTGTCATGTTACTAAACACTATTGCTAATTTGATGTATGACGTATGATTGAATATTGCGTGACTGCACTTTATGTCAAAAAGTCAAGAATGTACTTTAACTCTGTCAATGGTTGAAATCAAAAACAGCTTGAATTTTTTTTGTTCTAAACAGCATTACTCAAATTGAGTGTTATCACCTTATATATTTTCATTGGTTAACTTCAACTGAATTTGAAAGGCATTTTAACTGGACTTAT